CTGTGTCAGCATTTATATTCCACATGAATCTCCACTCACTCATCGAATCATAGAATCATAGAATCGTACAGCCCAAAAAGAGGCCATTCGGCCCATCGAGTCTGTGCCGGCTCTTTGAAAAGAGCAATGTAATGTCAATTCCACTCCCCAGCGCTTTCCCCATAACCCTGCAAACCCGTCCTCCTCAAATACCTGTCCACCACGTTTTTAAAAGTAGTTATCGAATCGGCCTCGACCACCCTTTCAGGCAATGCGTTCCAGATTCGAACAACTCACTGCGTGAAAAAAATTCTTCTCACCTCCCCTCTGCTTCTTTTGGAGACTATTTTGATTCTGTGACCTCGAGTCACCGACACACCCACCAGTGGAAACAGATTTTCCCTTTCCATCCTATCAAATCCCCTCATGATTTTGAAGACCTCTATTAGGTCTCCTCGTAACCTTCTCTGCTCCAATGAGAATAATCCCAGCCTCTCCAGCCTTTCCTCATAAACAAGGTCCCTCATTCCTGGTACCATCCTCATAAATCTCCTCTGCAGCCTTTCCAATGCCTTAACATCCTTCCTATAGTGTGGTGCCCAGAACTGGCGCACTATTCTAACTGAGGCCTAACCAGTGTTTTATATAGGTTAATCATAACCTCTTGACTCTTGTACTCTATGCCCCTATTTATAAAGCCTAGTATCCCATATGCCCTTTTTACAGCTTTATCTACCTGTCCTGCCACCTTCAAGGATTCATTTACCTGAACCCCCAGGTCTCTCTGTTCTTTTACCCCCCTTAAGATTGTATTACCAGCCTATATTGCCTCCCCTCATTCTTTCTACCAAAATGCATTACCTCTCATTTCTCCACATTGAAATTCATCTGCCATGTGTCTGCCCATTTTACCATTCTGTCTATGTCTTCCTGCAGTTGGCTACTATCCTTCTCACTGTTTACTACCCTATCCAACTTTGTGTAGTCCGCAAACTTGAAAATGGCACTTGCTATACCCAAGTCCAGATCATTTATGTATATTAAGAAGAGCAGTGGTCCTAATATCGATCCCTGGGGGACGCTACTGTACACTTCCCTCCAGTCAGAAAAGCAGCCGTTCACCACAACTCTCTGCTTTCTGTCTCCCAGCCAGTTCTGGATCCATGCTGCCACTGTCCCTTTTATACCATGGGCTTCTATCTTTCTTACAAGTCTTTCATGTGGCACTTTGTCAAATGCCTTTTGAAAGTCCATATAAACTACATCAACTGCACTACCTTTATCCACCCTCTCTGTTACCTCATCGAAAAATTCTATTAGATATGTTAGACAAGATTTGCCTTTAACAAATCCGTGCTGGCTGTCCCTAATTAACCCATATTCTTCTAAGTGAAGATTTATTCTGACCCGGATTTATTCACTCCCAAAACTTGATATTCCCTCACCCTCATGTGATTATCTAGCTTCCTCTTAAATGCATGTATAAATGTATAAAGGATGGTTGTATCTATAATTTCTATTTAACATTGTTGTGTATTACATCTGTGTATAACATGGTTGTATATAACAGATGGTTATATATAACAAGAGGAATTAAATGTAATGGTGGAAATGGATCACTTGTTCATCTGTGACTCAAACCTAATTCCATGCCATGTACACTCCCAAGATAGTTATACAAGACAAGCATTTGATTTGCTCGGCATATGCTTGTATCAGCAGGAAAACATTTAGCAGTCTGGCTGTAAGTGGAATACAATGTAACAGTGATCTCAAGTCATTACAATAATGTACTGTTAAAAACTGCCTACTGGGGTCAAATGTTGTGTACCTATCCTTAAAATAGGGCAATGATGCCTGTAATTACAATAAAGCCTGTAATTACAATAAAATCTGCAATTACACTCAACTAATTATCTGCAAAGTTTTTGCAGCTTTCCCTTTTGGGCAGCGATTGACATGGGTGGTTGGAGCAAGTCATAGTCGCAGGGGTGTAACAGTTGCAGGAATATTGCACATTTCCTTATAAAATCCAGGTTCCATTGACTAACCCGGGGTCTAGAAATGAAAAAAAACACTGCTAAGCGTGATCACCTTGTTGAGCTCTTTAACTATATCATCAGAGGACCTCTTACATGCCAGGCTGTGATGGATGTGACTCTTACCACTTGCTGTACAGTGTCAGCATCACTGAGCGCTGTCCACAGAAAATGTCTCCGCTATTGAACCACCCAAAAAGAACATACATTTCCTTCTACTCTTAATCCTTTGGCTCTTTGGTTCCCATAAGTTCTCCCCCTGGTGTGAACAGGGGCAAATTCAACATTAATTACACTGGAGCCTCCTCCCAATACCATCCAGAGAACGTATTTTCAAGAGTAGTGCAATTTACACTCACTCCAGTATAAATGTGGGGATATAAATTGCATCAATCCTGCTATCTGTTGATCCATTGAAAACTACAGCAACTTTAAACAGACTGTTTTTCAATCATCTGATTGTCTACATTTAGAATATAAGCTTTTGGTTCAATGGGGCATAATGGTAACAGTCACTTCTCGTTTTAATTTTATTTCTGAACTTCAGAACTTCTGAAGTGTGCTTTTCCCAAAATGTTTAGACCAAGTACATCAGCTGACAGTAGGCCATCTACTCATAAAATAGGTCATTGGTCATAACTTCCCTCTTCTGTTATAGTGTTTTTACCCACCTTCAATTGTCTCTGTAATTATAAAATTGTATGTTGTACTAAATCACAATAGTTAATGCCTTACAGTAGAACACTGCTTACCTGCTTGCCAATTATCCACGTGTCCAGTAATCTTCACTGGGTTCTGAAGCATAGTGGATGTGAGGTCACAAGATACTAGCCAAAGCATTTAGTCACGTAACTGTGTGAGGTTACTAGGAAAGTAATTTTCCCTGACAGCATGACTACATTGCTTCCCTCGTAACCTTGCATACATGTTCACAACTTCATTCATGTGGACACTGGATCTTTTTTTTTTGCTTGTAGTGGAAAAGTAAGCATGACCCATGTAAGAAAATGTAGTAGACATAAAGTCGTAGTGAGAGATAGAAAGTTAGAGATTTGGAAGGAGAAAGAAAAAGTTAGTGGGAGGGCATCAGAGAAAAAGGGTTGGCACAGTGCAGTATATTCATGACATTATAACCTGATGTATCAATGTTTCAGCACTGTAGCCAATTTGCATGATGTCCAATTATCTGCACTGTTTGCATATCTGCAATGGGACTAATCTGGACTAGTGTAGATGTAGATAATTATCTCTCTCCTACACTTTAAATTCCAAAGCATCTTATTGACCTTTGCAAGATACTTGGCACTACAATGCATAATGTCTGCTGTAGGTTTTATGTTTTGGTTATAATGAAACACGTTGTATATTGAATCCATATGGGCAGATTATTGGAGCTGTCCCAGTTATACTAGATGCCCTCAGCATGGTAACGCATATAAAATTCTTATTTATATTCCCATGTGTCCAAATAACTGTTTTATGTTATTAGTTTCCAGCAGAAACAGGTTAGACGGTGGGGGTGGGTGGAAGGGGGTTGGGGGCATGGAAGCACAACAGCTGCTGCTTGTGTTACAGTTAAGTTAATATGTTCAGCCAGTGCAGCAAGCGAGATTCAGCACAGAGTCTCTTTGCGCACCGAGTGATTTTTGTGATGTTCGCGAATTGTACGTTAATTAACGTCACCGCTAATTAGCAGTGATCATTGTGAACTAATATTGAATGGGGTGGAAGTTTGCAAGCTGTTTCCACCTGTTCATGATTCCAAAATTAGAAGCCTTAAAGATCTAACAAAGATCCATTATTGCCGCAATCCAGTTTTCAAACTCAATCTGCCATTGTATTGGGTTTCCATTCTTGAGGCCTACAGGGTATTGTCCTTTAGAGAGGTTTTGTTTGATGTAATAATTATTTTCAATGCTGAATCTTTAGAAAACAAGCAAAATTCCCTTCGTCTCCAGTTTAGCCCAGAAAATATTGTTAATAATTGAGGTTTTTAGAATACCTTACCACAAATGTTGTTCTGGCTGAGTCCATAAAGGCATTTGAAAGGGGTCTTGATAAATAGTCTTGATAAACCAGCACAGATACGATGGACTGGTTAACTTCCTTCCGTGTTGTAAAGTCTTATGATTCTACTTCATAATAAGGCAATATCTTACTCTTTGCTCTGGGACGCAACACTTGTGTGCTGTGCTTTGTTTCCTCCTGTCTGGCTGTCAGTGTGTGCTCCAGTTAGTTTGGCACACAATATACGTTTAGCAATTAAAAAATCCTAGCAACGGCCAGAGAATGTTCAGAATGCCTGGGAGAAGTCTCCAGTACATGAAACCTCATTGTGTTCTCTCTTCATCTGAATGAGTTATGATACTAATAGTCAGAGCTCCCACAGACATTAAAGTCGGACCAATCTAATTACAAGGAGGAAAATAAAGTCTGCATGCATACAATAGTTGTTTTTAAGTACCATATTCTGACAAAAGCACATGGAAATTACAAGGAATTTTCAGTGTTTGCTTTTTAAAGATCGAAAATCTCCAGAAATATTATTTGAAGTATATACTGTACCCGTGATAATGTTTAATTTTGGGTGCAAATGGAAAGAGGTAGTGAGTGTACTTTCCAGAAAATGAAGCAGCTACAAAGGGCATCGCTAAACTGAAGTCAGCCACAAACACGTAACAATACTTTGCATAGAAGCTACTTTATACAGCAACAAAGCAAATTGATGTGGGACCGTTAATAGTTTCACAAGTATTACAAGAGGCTCACTGGAGATCAGTATACAGAGTTGCGAGCACTTATTGTCAATCTGTCTCATTCTCCGTTTGGATATTTCGAAATTGAAATAAAATGTTATTCTTTCTCAGTAAAAATCACTTTCTATTTACAGCAGCAAAAGTGAACCACTACAACAGAATCATTGAGCTGCACTGTGCAGTGCAGTGTTGACAACAAAAGTAGAAATAACCAATGAGAAGTGGGCCTCAAGAAATATATTTATTGTAAAAGATTATCGCTGTTTTGAACAACGTGAATCAAAATGCTTCAATTTCTAAAAAAAAATCTGTAGGAAAAATACTATAAGTCATGTATTAACTGTTTACACTTTGACCTCAAGACTGAAGTGTGTGTTGTAAAATATATATGTCTCAGCTATTCATGGTAATCTCCAACCCTATTTATACAAACACCTGCATTAAAATGTAACCTGAAATGGGTCAATTCAGGTCACTTGAGATCCTCAGTTGGGTTTGATGTTTGTTTGGACTCAAAAGAACCTGGAGTTGCTTCTGATGTTCGTGTCCTTCTCCAGAACAATGTTCACTCCATCACAATGCACAAGGGCTCAAGGTTCAATTCCAAAGGTCAGTTCTTTCGCCTGCTTAATAGTCAATTTATGGTATAATGTCACATTTATCTCTGCCAGGCCTTGAGCAAACCATACAGCTCCAAGAATGTAACCTCCATCGTTTTCTTGTCTGTAACGCCATGGATGGACAACTCAGAACACCTCAGCACTGCATTACGCAGCTGAGATTGCAGTGGGTGATACATCCTAAGTTCACTCAGCTTTGAGATAAATAAGGGACGGAAAATTTTATCACAAATAACCTGTGAAAAAACAAGAGATCAAATCAGTCTTTAGATCCGAGGCCGGCAATAGTTTCATAGTTACAGGCCACAATTAGAAACTACTAATAGTTTAAGGAAAAGGTAACTTGTTCAATGCACCGATGGACAGTGAACTGACTGACTCCTTCCAAATCTCCACTGGACTTTGGAAGGAGCCAGTTTTACACAAATTGACATACCTGTTACTTTGAGATCTGTGGACAGCACTGTGTGAGCCCCATTACATGGTTGCAATTTGGGCCAGATCAGATCAACCAGACCCCAGAAACCCACCTTGGACAGCTTCAGGCTTGTGCCATGATATCTGCAAAATTATCCCTCTCCCTATACTGCCTGGTTAGTAGTATTATCTGCCCTCTGGCTTAATATGCTGATGGAGATGCCTCATGTAAGGGAGGCAGTTGAGAGCAGCAGAGTTTTGTTTTGGTGATGCAGATCTTATTTCAATTGATGAAAGTAAGAAAGCATCACCTGCAAGGAAGGGTCCTATCCCCCAGTGAATCAATGGAATGAGGTTGGTAGGAAAGCCTCATACAACAACAACAACAACAAGATTCCATTTATAAAGCGCCTTTCACGTCAGGAGGACGTCCCATTGACTTCATAGAAGTCAAACCAGTTATAAAATGTCATGTCATTTATCCCTATAATTCAAAATGTTACCATAAATCATTGGTAATGCAATGATTTTGAAAAATGAGCCAAAGGTAGTGTCTGACATCACATGGTGTAGGATTCTTTTTATAAATGAGGTGGGGGAAGAAGTTCAACACATTCTTTTCCCTTTAAGAGATGGTGAAGATTGACAACAAGTTGCATTGATATAGCGCCCAATCACATAGGATAACTAATGTCTTGGAGCACTGAACATGAACGGAGTTGGACAACGAGCAAGGGAGAATGGGGAGGTGACTGTAGGCATGTTCAAAGAGGTAGGTTTTGAGCTGAGACTTCAAGAACGAAATAGAGGGGTGAGCTGAAGAGAAGAGGGAAGGAGGGAATCCAAAGATTCGGTCGTAGGAATTAAAGGCTCACTCACCAATAATGGCACGGTGAGGGTGGGAATGCACTGCAAGCCTTGGGTAGAGGATCGGAGGTCAAGTGTGGAGGAGTAGGGTAAGAGAACATTGGAGAGATAAGGAAATGTCAGGGTGTGGATGGATTTATAGATCAGGGTGAGGATCTTGAAATTGATCCACAGCGAATCAGGGAGCCAAAGGAGACTGGCGAGGACAAGAATGATGGGCATGTGGAGTTTGGTGCATCTGAGGATGTGGGCATTGGAGTTTTGGATGAGTTGCAGCTTGTGAAGAATATTGTATTATAATACAAAAGAGTATTATTTTAACATGAAAAGTACAGTCATAGGAATTCTAGTACGTCAGGCCCCCCAATTATTTTATTACTGTGGAATCTCTTTATGAAAACACAATATAAATTATTCTCCACTCATTACTCAAAAGGGAATGGATTTGCAATGAAATGCATTTTGATCCTATGGATTTGCATAAATTGTGGTCAACAATGTGCTCTGAATGAGGCAGCCGAAGATCACTGTGTCCATTTATGAAATGTTACCATCGTCTTCACGTAAACTTTCCACTTGACCAAAAAACAATGTTAGAGAGTTAATGATTCATAGTAAACTGCACTCTTGACACAATAATAACAATCCTTATATTTGATATAGCACCTTATCATGTCTTTGAGTGGTCTCAAAGCGCTTCACAGAATATACTGCAAAGTGAATTGACTGTATACTCTGTGGGCAAAACATGACACCCAATTGCACACAGCAGTGTCCCACAAACCGTCATGGATTGAATGACCAAATTATTTTTTTTTTTGAAGGAATTAGTATTACCCCTGGAAAAGCGATCTGCCAATCGACTGACACCCGGGTTCCTATTTACTGTTAGGTAAACGTGTGGAGTAAGGAAACTTGCCCAATATTTCACCCTGCTGGGAATTGAACCCAGGTCTCTCGCTTGCGAGGTGAGTGCTCTAACCACTGAGCTACAGAACTCCACAATAATGTAAGCAAGACATTTGCCACATTTGCCAAAGATACATGGTTATGTTACTTGACAGTAGATACTGTGAAGTGCATTGACACATTCTACATTATGAAGTTTATCAAAAGTAGGGATATTATTAAAATATCCTGACATATGATGTACTACTTTATAATGTCTGAATGTAGAGCTACGTGGAGTCCTACAGCTTAGTGGTTAGAGCATTTGCCTCGCAAGCGAGAGGACCTGTTTCTCCACATGCCTCTGTTCACCTGGGAGTAAGTAGGAACCTAGTTGTTAGTCGATTGGCAGATCACTTTTCCAGGGGACTAATAATTTCTTCAAATATCATACGAGTAGTTTGGTCACTCAATCCATGACTGTTTGTGGGACATTACTGGTGCAATTGGCTGCAGCATTTCGCCCACAAAATATATAGTCAATTCACTTTACATTATATTCTGTGAAACGCTTTGAAACGTCTCGAAGATGTGATAAGGCACCGTATCAAATGCAAAGATTATTATTATTTTAAAAGAAAGCAATGAGTTTACAGAAATAACTGTATTACAAACTGCACGTGTGGCATGGTTAGTATGTTTCTCATATTTGACTATCAAATATCCACACAGAGCCTAATAATAATCCCTCCAAAACCAAAAACAATAATAAATTGGTCATTTTCAATCCACGACTGTTTGTGGGACATTGCTGTGCGCAATTGGCTGCCGCGTTCGCCCACAAATATACAGTCAATTCACTTTACAGTGTGTTCTGTGAAGCGCTTTGGGACGTCCTCCCGACGTGAAAAGCGCTATATCAAATCCAAGGATTATTATTATTATTATTATTATTATCATTGCTGCAGGATATTTTTACAGCATAAGTGATTTCTTCTTAACTTAGAATTGATTCTTTTTTATGTTGTCTCTTCACAGGAATCTATTTTGCTGTGCTGAGCTTAGTAGTTTAATTTCTATTTTCTACAGTATAACAATACAGTATCTATGAAATGAAAATGTGTGAGGCACAAGGCACTCCAGGAACATAAAGCATGATAAGAAGGGAGACAAGGAGAAGAACACACATGGTGTGGTGGGTAGATAATATCTAGAAGCCAATAAGCAATAGCAAAATGAACAAGAGAGAACTAGGACCTGCAAATTGATATTCAGAAGGTATTCCTAATTGTGAGAACAAAACACTGTGAACCAGTGCTGATAGATCCACATGCAGTTTAAGGTTATCTTAACAGATGGATAGCGAATAAAGACAAAATGTTTATTCATTTGAAAGAGAATTCACTGACCTGTAGGTTACTATTTGAACGCTCTGCTGTACATTTATTCGTCTTTGTATTACACCTAGAGAAACAGTCAAAAAAATTACAGTCTTCATCTGCTGTGCAATTTTGTTCGAGGATGTTACGCATTTTGGGTTCAAAAAAGGCCATATCTACATCAATTGCAACAACCTGCAACACAGAAATGAAATGGCAGCTTATATGTCTGAATTTAACATGATTTAATTATCAAATGTTAAGGTTGTTTTTAACAAATTGTTTGAAATTACTGATGTGGTTTAAAGCAGGGGTCTTGACATTGTGATGATTTTCTCAATGAATGCAATACAATTGAAATTTATATGGAACCTTTTAGGGCAGGAGGACGTCTCAATGGACTTGACAATGCATGCTGCGGCTGGGAGCAGAAGGGGGTAGGGAAGGGGAGGGGAAAGATGTCCAAAAGGTATGGGCACCTGTAACCTGTCATCAGTACCATTGATGTAGGGAGCTCAGAGTTAGCTTTTGGCTTTATCATGAGCCTGTCATTGTTTGTATTGTACAATTTTAAAACAAAGAAGGGAACTGACAATCTAAATAGTAGACAACTCTTTCCACTGTTAGTGAGATTCAGAACAAGGGCCAGAATCTTAACAACAACAAAATTACATTTGTAAAGCGCCTTTCACATTGGGAGGACATCCCAAGGCGCTGGACAGAGAGAGTTACGGACCCAAGCTGAGGGTCGGGGTGGGGGAGGGGGGAGGGCAGGGGGGGGAATATATAATAATAATAATAAGCAGGGAGATTGAAAGCACGGTCAAAGAGGAAGGTCTTGAGGTGGATCTTCACGGTGGCAAGGGAGGGGGCGAGACGGAGGGACTGCGGGATGGAGTTCCAGAGGGTGGGTGCAGAGTGGCGGAAGGCCCGCCCGCCAATAGTGGGGCGAGCAAGGCGGGGACATGAAGCAGACCGGAGCCCACTGAGCAGAGGGAACGAACAGGGTGGTAGGGGGTTAGGAGATTGGAGAGGTAGGGGGGAGCAAGACCATGGAGGGCTTTGAAGGTGAGGACCAGGATCTTGAACTGTATCCTCTGTGTGATGGGAAGCCGGTAGAGTTGGACAAGGATGGGGGTGATAAGGTTGCAGAGCCTCGTATGGAGAGGACATGGGCTGCAGAGTTGTGCATGATCTGCAGCCTGTGAAGGGAGGAGTTGGGGAGGCCGACAAGCAGTGAATTTTCATAGTCGAGCCTCGATGTAATGAAAGCGTGTACGAAGGGTTCGGTGGCCTGCAGTGAGAGGCAGTGGCAGAGCCGGGCAACGTTGCGGAGGTGGGGGAAGGCAGAGTAGGTCATGGCGCAGATGTGGGGTAGAAAGGATAGTTGAGGGTCAAACAAGGTTCCGGACTGGCTTAGCAAGGTGGAGTGTGCAACCATGGATGGTGATGCTGTCAGCGCCTGAAGGTATACAATTAGAAAACAGGTGTCAGCCTGGCTAAGTTGGTAACAATCTTATTTATCCCCTGAGTCAGAAGCTTGTAGATTCAAACCCCACATTTCATGCCAGAACTTTGATCTTATGGTCTCCGCAGATGTTCCAATGAAGTGCTGGGTAAGTTCTGCATTGTTGGAAGTGTTGTCCTTTGGAGGAAATGTTAAAACTAGGACCTGTCTGCCCATTCAAGATGGTGTTAAAGATCCCATGGCACTATTTGGAAAGAGAAGAGAACTTCTTCTGGGTGTCCTAGCCAACAATTCCTAGATAAAATTGATCATTCAATTCATGGCTCCTTGTGGGAGATTGCTATGCTCATATTGGCTGCCATGTTTGCCTGCAAATGTACATTTAGGACACCGTCCAGTGAAATCCTTTGAGACACTTTGATGATATGATAAAGTGCCATTATTAAATGCAAGGATTATTATTATTATTATTTCTTTACACTGATGTTTGTAAAAATGTAGAATACATTTACCTGGAAAGTGGTGTAAACAGGATCAATTGGGATACTTAAAAGGGAGATAGATGGTTACTGGGGAAAATAAGGTTATGGAGAAAAGGCAGGAAATTAGGTTTGAAAGATCCATCATGGTCCAATAAACTGGAACAGGCTCCACAGGCTTAATGGTCTCCTTCCATTCTTATATTTGTCATTAAACAACCAGGAAATACAGATGGCTGGTAAAACCAGGCAGTAATCACTCATACTCTCCAACTTAAAACCAGACATCCTCTCCTCCCATTTGAAGACATTGTGCTACTTTTTGTCTTCTACAGGGATACAGTGTTACAGGCATCTTCCAGTAGCTGACTTCAAACCAATTATTTTTTGAGAGTGTATAGATGTTAACAGTGTATCTATGCTGCCATTAAACAGGTGTTAACAATGTTTGGGTGTCAACAGTGTATAGACATTTACAGTATACAGGTGTAAACTGTGTATGTGTGTTGTCAATATACAGGTGTTATCAGTGTACAGGTGTTGGCAGTGATTAGTAATAATATTAATAATATCCCTACATTTGGTCATAATATAATAATAATCCTTGCATTTGATATAGCGCTTTTCACATCTTCTCGACGTCTCAAAGCGCTTCACAGAATAGACTATAAAGTGAATTGACTGTATATTTGTGGACGAAACGCGACAGCCAATTGCGCACAGCAATTATCCCACAAACAGTTGTAGATTGGAACTGTCCCACAAACAGTTGTAGATTGAAATTACTAATTTATTATTGTGGGATTTTTTTGAGGGATTATTATCAGGCATGTGGAGTAAGGAAACTTGTCCAAGGTTTTACCCTGCCGGGAATTGAAACCAGGTGTCTCGCTTGCAAAGTGAGTGCTCTAACCACTGAGCTACAGGACTCCAAACAGGACTTTGGGAGGGAAGCCCAAAGCACTTCACAGAGTACACCTTAACATGTAGTGACTGTGTATTTTGCAGGCGAACGTGGCAGACAAATTGCTCCACAGGGTTGTCCCACACACAAACAGCAATTTTGGGAATCAGTTTTATTTTGGGAGATTGTTGGGCAGGACAGTCTATCATATGTTGCCAACTCAATCTTAATTTTTAAGGTATATTTCATGAATAAGTTTCAAATATTTCGGAATATTATTCAAAGAGTCTATTTTTATCATTTTCAAATATATTTTCAATGTTTGCTTTTACTCTTTCCCATTTTAAACTGGTTTTACTTGTTTAAAATTAAGGCAGTTTTTCCTGGTGTCCTGACCAATATATTCCAGGTTAATTGGTTGTTTACTTTTTGAATGTTTGGGGATCTTTCCTGTGTAGCTCTGTTTGAGCACAAAAAAATTGGCACCACATTTGACAGTAATTTCTTGTGAAACACTTTGAGATGTTTCAATGCGAAAAAGTGCTATACAAATGTAATTGTCTCTTTTCTAAATGACATGCTAGACATCTCTATGCTTAAGAGGACTTGCAACCGTGATACATTTTGACAGATTTATAATAAAGCTGCTTAGGTTATATTTCTGGTTTCAATCTCTGTTCTCTCAAGATCCTCCTCATCGATTGCGCCTTAGGGCACATTCCTGCCCTCCCTGCCCTCCACCCAACCCCTGATCCCAGCCCCCCGCTCGGGTCCAAATCCCTGACTGTCCAGGTCCTTGGGACTTCCTCCCGACATTAAAGGCGCTGTGTAAATGTAGCTTGTTGTTGTTGTTCACGTTTTAACTGGCTCCATTCTTACTGTGGAATAAACCTATGAGATTTTGAAAATAATTGAGGACTTACAATGGGTGTATAACACTGAATGTTGCATAACATACCTAAGACAGCTCTATGAAACACATGTAATTTCTGGGACCCTTAACATTGATTTTATGAATGAGAAACCAAAATGGACCTGTCTTTTAATGCTGTAGCTCTCATGATGTGGGCGCGCAAATTACCGTCAGATCACTCCTGATGGCAAAGTTTTCTGGCTTGATGTCACAGAGATGAAGATGGTGGGAAAAGTCATTCTCAAAATGTCTGATTAGTTCAAGAAAACTCAGTGCAATTTCATTAATGGTGCGCCACAGCACCTTTCTGCTGCTGTCTCGCCAGGAAGGGTTGACTAGTGTTTCCACAGAGAAAAGGCTGTGATGCCAAGCGTGCCCAGCTGTAAGGTATTCAACTACATAAAAATGTCCACAGGAGCCCATCACTCTGGGGACATGCTTACTGAGGTCCTGCAGCAATCTGAAAAGCACGTATTCCTCCTGCTGTAGGAGTGACCACATGCTGGCCAGCTCTGCCCTGGAGTAGGAATCCCTTTTGTCTTTCAGCTGTTTGGCCCATAGCTGTGGTACTGTGGTGTTCTTCACCTCAAGCCCCAAGGCACGTTTGACTTCCAGTGCAGTAAAGAGGAGAATGTCAATGTCTTGAATGCTTCTGGTTTCTCGTTCATCCAACAGGTACAATCTGTCGTAACTAGAGAAATTTTCTAGTTTGGACTTCAGAATTACTGGCTGGCTGTTCCAATCTGCCTGGATGACTTTTTTGCCTTTATCATAGTAAAGGCATTGCTTATAAACCATTGTTTGTGTCACACACAAATCATCGCACACATCTCCGGTCAGTACTCCTTGCTTGTAGTCATGACACTGAAACGAATACACAATTAGGTTTACCGTGGTTTACTAAAGTTAAAACATTCAAAACATTGAAAAAGCAATTCAGTATCAGCAGCTCTGTTCAACAACAACAACAAGATTACACTTGTATAGTGCCATTCACGTCGGGAGGACGTCCCAAGGCGCTGGACAGTGTACAGCATTTCAGACCCGAGCTGGGGTCAGGAGGGGAAAAGGGAGGGGAGGGGAAGGGGAGTGGCCGATGGCATGGTCGAAGAGGAGGGTCTTGAGGTGGGACTTGAAGGAGGCTAAGGAGGGGACGAGGCAGAGAATTCCAGAGGTTGGGGGCAGAGTGGCTGAAGGCTCTCCCGCCAATGGTGGGGTGGGTGGGTTGGGGACGTGGAGCAGGCCAGAGCCGGCTGAGCAGAGGGAGCGGGCGGGTTGATAGGGGGTTAGGAGATCGCAGAGGTAGGGTGGGGCGAGGCCATGGAGGGCTTTGCAGGTGAGGACCAGGATCTTGAATTGGATCCTCTGAAGGATAGGGAGCCAATGGAGTCGGGCGAGAATGGGGGAGATGGGGTCACGGAGTTTGGTGCGGGAGAGGACACGAGCTGCAGAATTTTGGATTATCTGCAGCCTGTGGAGGGAGGAGTTGGGAAGACCGACAAGCAGGACGTTTGCATAGTCGAGCCTGGATATGATGAAGGAATGAACAAGAGTTTCAGCGGCCTGAGAGGTGAGGTAGTGGCGGAGTCGGGTGATGTTACGGAGGTGAAAGAAGGCAGAGCAGATCATGGTTTGGATGTGGGGAAGAAAAGACAGTTGAGGGTCGAACAAGACACCTAGGTTCCTGACTGGCTTGGTGAGTTGAAGTGTGCAACCATGGAGGTTGATGTTGCCAGAGCCTGAGATGCTGAGGCGCTGGCGCGAGACAATCAGGAGGGCCTCAGTCTTGTTCAACTATAGGAAATTTGCCCTCATCCAGGACTTGATGTCCGACACGCAGTCTGTCAGGACAGCAGTGGTCCTGGAGTTGAGGGTGGAAGCAGAAAGATACATCCGCATACATATGGAAGTTGACCCCATGTCTGCGGACGATGTCACCAAGGGGGAGCATGTAGATATTAAAGAGGATTCATTGAAATGCACGGCACTTGATTGAAAAATATTGAGGTTTGACTTTTTTTGAATCTTTGTGTTTCTGGGTTGAGTGATTGATTGCTGAGTTCAAGTTTAATGTTAGGTGCTGTGTTTATGCACTAAATTGAAAAGTAGTGTAAAAGGCGTATTTATTATGAAGGTGAAATTGTGACACTCCTAAAGGCGCTGTCCTTTAATTAATTTTCTTCCTTCAATTAGCCTTAAATATTTCCATATTCAATTTGTTGTTTCTAATCGCAGATAACACCTTCATACCTACTGAACCACCTTAGCCAAACTGATTTGCTCAACATCCAACCCTGCAACTATGCAGCACTCTGAGACTCTATTCTATGTGTAGAACACCCTCAATGTGGATGGCAGGCACCACAAACTTGTGAGCAGCACAACTAAGCATGAAATCCATGAGAGCATTGCTATCATGCTCCTACCCACAGACTGGACCACCCCAACCCTCTTAATCACTGAACAATAGTTCCATCAGCTGGAAATGCAGAGCTTCAGCTGTTTACCTATTTGCATACCATGCCCTGTGTGTTCACAACAAAACACAAAGACAAAAGGGATTTGGACTCCAAGTAATGCCTTCCAGCAGTTGTCATCCAAGCCACTAAGTTCCCTCATCAGCTATTCGATAGACACCTGCCCTCCATTTAGTGGGAGAAATTTTCAGGACAGCTTGTGACATTCTGGCCACTTTGATGTTCTGGAGGTGCTGGTGCAATGCCACGTACCAGGCTTACTCAGCACCAACTGCTTAATCCAGGTCCACATGTGAAGGTCTGTAACAAATAGACCTGCCTGTTGTGAAGCTGACCTTGACTCAAAGCTCAAAGAGTTGATCAAAGCTCCCCCTCCCTGTAGCCACTTCCCTTTTAAGCAAAAATCCACCTCTGCTTGGAATGCTGGACTTCATAAATGGGCTGAAGGAAACCTTGGAACATCATGCAGTTTTATAATGTTTGGTGAGTCAGTTATTTTTCTGTTTGTACAATATTTCCCAGTATAGGAGTAGTATCATTGTCATTAGAAGAGTTAAGGGTTGCATCAGAAGATTTAACAGAGATTAGAATAAGGAATACTTTCCAAAAAATGGCTGCTGAGATTGTGACCAGAACAGTATTTAAAGGGCATAAACAATATAAACATTTGAATACAATTACATTGATATGTAAGTACCTTTTAAATTGGGAGGACATCCCAAGGCATTTGAAAATATAGAAAAGGGTATAAAGAACAAGCAAGGTTCGTGATTAGAGTAGTTAATTTTAGCAGATGAGTTCACCACATGCTTAGGCTCGATGGGCTGAATAGCCTCCTATGCTATAGTTTCTCTGATTCTGCAAAACACATGCTATCCATCAAATACTTCATTAAGTGTTGAAAGACTAAGTCCTCAAATAGAAGAGAATTCCTTCAATAATTACATAGTGAGTATCAGTTACCTGTCAGCAAGTTAGAGGTTTAAAAGAAGATTTTAGATAACATGACAAACCACAAGATGGAAACTCAAGTTGACATTATAGTTTGAAGTTTGGATTTTCCTTATTCTACTTTACAGGCATGTATTCACTATTATATACAACAGCAACAACAATTTGCACTTACATAGTGCCCTCCACACAGGGTAGCATCTCAGAGCACTCAACAGTGGCGAGCCTGACTCCGAGTCGAGGGGAGGGGGAGATGGCCGTAAGCACGGTCGAAGAGGAAAGTTTTAAGGTGGGATCTTAAAGAGGGGAGAAAGGGGGCAAGGCAGATGGACTGAGGGAGAGTGTTCCATAGTTTTGAGGCATAGTGGCTGAAAGCATGACCTCCAATGGTGGGGCGGAGGGTGCAGGGTCGAGCAGGAGGCCAGTGCCAGTCGAGCGTAGGTGCCGCGTGGTGGATTGGGGAATGAGGAGGTCGGAGACGTAGGGAGGTGCCAGGGAGTGAATGGATTTGAACAAGAGACTGAGGATCTTGAAGTCGATCCATTCAACGATCGGGAGCCAGTGGAGCCTGGCCAGAACTGGTGAGATATGGATACGGAGTTTGGTCCGGGTCAGTATGTGGGTGGCAGAGTTCTGAATGAGCTGGATCTTGTGAATAGTGGAGCTGGAGAGACCGGCGAGGAGTGTGTTTGAGTAATCCAGAGGCGACAAATGCACGCACAAGAGTTTTGGCTGCATTTGGGGTAAGGTACGGTCGGAGGCGGGCAATGTGACAGAGGTGGAGGAAGGCGATCCTGGGCCGGACTGGATGTTAGGGAGAAAGGACAGTTGGGGGTCGAACCGGATGCCTAGATTGCGCACTGGTTCAATGAGTCTGAGGGAGAGCCCAGGGAGGTTAAGGAGTTTAGATTCACAGGAGTAAAGATGTTGACAGGAGTCGAGGAGTATGGCTTCTATCTTCTCCATATTCAGCTGCAGGAAGTTTACAATCATCCAGGCCCTGATGTTTGCCAGACAAGCTGACAGCATATCGGCGGACCTGGAGTTGATGCTGGAGGAGGCAAAGTAGATTTGTGTGTCATCCACATACATGTGGAAGTTTACCCCGTGTCTGCGGATGACGTTGCCAAGAAGGAGCATACAGATGAGGAAAAGAAGAGGGCCAAGGATGGTGGCCTGGGGTACTCCCCAGGTAACCAGGGAGGGGTCTGAGGAGAAACCATTTGCTGAGATAAAGTGGAGGCGGTTGTTTAAGTAGGACTCGAACCATGTGAGTGCAGTCTCACAAAGGTACATGAGGGAGGAGAGACGGTGGAGGCGGATCGCATGGTCGACTATGTTGAACACAGCAGAGAGATCCAGGAGGACGAGGAGGCAGAGGGAGCCCTGGTCACAGATAGAGAGAATGTTGTTTGTGACTTTGACAAGCGCTGTCACTGTGCTGTGGGCAGGGTGAAAACCAGACTGCAGGGGCTCGAGGAGGGAGTGGAGGGAGAGGTGTGACCGAAGTTGACCTGTAACAATGCAATTCAGGACTTTGGCGAGGAAGGGTAGGTTGTTGATGGGATGGTAGTGTGAGACATTAGAAGGATTGAGGGTGGGTTTTTTGAGCAGGGGTGCAATGACATCCCTCCTCAATATATTCCAAGTGATGAATTTTATTCAGATTTCTCCTCCCTAGTGATTCATTTCATTGATTTTTTTTCAGTCTTCTTCCTCATTTCTGGTGGACAACTCTACAATTCTATCATCACTAATGTATCGGCATTCCTCATCGTCATCCATTTTTGTGAGAGACTAGCCAGTGAGTATCATTGAGCCAAGTGTGGTGGGGCATCGTTTCAGAGGCTTATTGGTCTCCATCCACTATATTTTGAGCCAGTCCAGAACCTAGGTGTTTTGTTTAACCCTCATCTGTCCTTTCTACCCCATATCCATTCTATAACTCGCTCTGCCTTCTCCCACATTTGCAAAATCACCTGGCTCCGCCACTGTCTCACCCCTCAGGCCGCCGAAATCCTCATTCATGCATTCATCACATCTAGGCTCGACTACGCTAACTCCCTACTTGTCGGCCTTCTCAAATGTTCCCTCCACAAGCTGCAGATCATCTGGAACTCTGCAGCGAGTGTCCTCTCCTGCACCCGGCTCCGCGACCCCATTAAACCCACCCCCGCCCGGCCCAACTAGCTCCCCATCCCTTAGAGGATCAAGTTAAAAATTCTCGTCCTCACCTTTAAGGCCCTCCATAGCCTTATCCCCTCCTATCTCTCCGACCTGCCTACTCCTTATCAACCTGTCCGCTCCCTCCAATCAGCAGGCTATGGCCTGCTCCATATCCCCGCCTAGTCCTCCCCACCATTGGTGGTCGGGCCTTCAGCCTCTCTGCCCCCACCCTCTGGAACTCCATCCCACATTCCCTTTGCCTCACTGCCTCCCTTGCCTCCTTCAAGGCACAGCTCAAGACCCTCCTCTTTGACCATGCCTTCAGCCACCCTCCTACCACCACCCTTCCTGATCCCAGCATTCCCCCCCCACCCCACTCGGGTCCTAATCCCTGACTGTTCAGCGCCTTGGGATGTCCTCCCAACGTGAATTGTGCTTCACAAATGTAATTTTGTATTGTATTGAGAAAACTTTGAATAAGCTCGTGCTCCAAAACACTATCCTGTATGATGCAGGCTAATATAAATCTAAGCTGTTGTTACTGAATGTAATCTTTTAAGTTGTTACTCAATCAAAGGAATTTCAATAACCCCATCATCACTCAAGAGAGTCAACTGGCTGTCAACGCAGCCCCATGTTACAGTTATCTTCAATAACACATACAACTTGGTTCCATTTCCCATGCTTACCACTGAACCTCTGTTACTATCTATTTTCCTATTCCATTAACCACCACCATTATGGCTCCCACATTTTGCTTTTCATTGTGTGGAGAAAGAGACGTACTTTGCCCAATAAGAGAATTTAAGAAAATGTCTTTTCTCACCAGAGTGAATAATGTGTTTTTCTGAAAATAAATTCTTCTCTCGTGATTCACCTAAAAAATAAAGTCACTTCACTTTACAGTAAATCTTATGAAGCGCTTTGAGATGTTTTCCTGACATGAAAGATTTTTATTAATCTATGGATTTCTATAGTATTATTAGTAACTTTCCTGTGTATGTTTAGTCTTATTTTCAAGATGTGTTTGTTTCTTGTACCAGTCAAATTTGTGGAATATTGCTCTGCCCAAATTGGCTGCCACATTCACCCAGAAAATAATAATATATTAACCCCTGCCTTTCATATAGCTCTTATCACATCATTGAAACATCTCAAAGAGCTTCACAGGATATACTGTACAATGGATTGACTGTGTATTTTGGGGTGAAATGTGGCAGCGAGTTACGCTCAGCAATGTCCCACAAACAGCCATGGGGTGAGTGACCAATTTTATTTTGAGGGATTTGGGCTAGGACACCAGAAGAAACTCCCTTCTCTTTTCAAATAGTGCCATGGAATCTTCAACGTCCACCTGAACAGGCAGATGGGACCTCAGTTTAATGCCTCATCCGAAGAAAATACACACAGTCACTCCACTTTACAATATATCCTGTGGAGTGCTTTGAGAAGTGTCAACAACGGTGATAAGGCACTATATTATAAGGATTATAAATTAAACATCACATCATTTCTGACTATATTTTCATCCATTAAGGCAGAATATCCAGGAATGTATATCCATTTGCATCCAAACATTTTCAAACTTTTCTTCTGATTAGCCGGGTGTTTGACACACACGGAAACTTATCAATGTGCTTAAAATTATCCAAACCAACCTACTGAAAATTCTGCATATGCATTGAAATTTCCATGTGTCCCTAATGGAATGCACACTCTCTCCCTTGAGCCACTGAGCTGCAGCCAGTTCATCTCATACTGGAAAGTGATAGACACAGGTTGTCAAAGAGCCAAGGTTTTGGAGTATGTTGGAGAATTGCTGGAGTTTAACCAGCAACTTGTCAACACTGACTGGCACTTGTCCCGCTGCTCGATCAATTCATAGTATCTTACGGCTCTGGCTTGTGGGGTTAACAGGAGCTGAGAGGGAAGAATTCCTGACCCCAGTGAATAGGTAAGTATTCATATGATTAGATTGGACATACATGAAATATACATTTATATATTCATGATTTGAAGATAATAATAACTCATTGTTGGTATTGCTGGTGTATCACTCATTGATCTGACAAAGAAATTCAACCTATCTTTAAATTTAACATTTTACAAAATAAAAACATAAACAGGAATCCAAGGTGAATGTGGACCACAATGAGAATTTGGCTTTCTCGTTATTTAACATTTTGGTAAATGCTCTTTAGAGAATTCTTATTTAAAATCCCCATCACCGAACGATTTGTTCCAAATTTGCTGATGTGTATTTAAATATTTAGAGGGAGCTTTAGACACATTAACCACAAAACTCTAGGCAACTTGGCAGGTTTCCTATTAGCAGTACTGAGAAATATAAGCTCACAGATCTGTCAGCTAAGTACTTTAGAGTGAAATTGATGGGCGGGCCAGAGTTGAGAGGTCTTTAAATAATGCTTCACTTGTCACCATTATATTTGATAAAACGAGATGATGTTTTAAGGAGCTGGAGGTTTTGTGGGGAAATGATGTCTGGATTGTTTCCTGGGGACGTTAGGTCATGGCTCACATGGGCTCCAGCCATCTGCCAGTAGAGATGCTGGGAGAGCCAGCATGGGATCAAAGTGCTAATCGGCTTGCAAACCACACTCACTGCAGTGGGGAGAGTGGAGCTTAAAGCACATTTTATTAGACGGGATGACCTTGAAATGTCCAGCACTTCCCCCTTTAATTGTTAGCCTCAGGACAACAAGTACATGTCGGCGCTCCCACTGCTCAAGGGTTCAGAAATGGTTAACATTGGTTACCATTGGCCACTTTCCCTCTCCCTCCTCTCCTCTCCTCTCCCAGGCTATTGCTACGTGTGGACCATCAGTTCAAAACATTATCAGTTGGGAGATTTTCTTGAACTCTCCTGTTTTTATTTCACTCGGTTAACTTTTCCCCGTTTCCCAATTTGGCAAAAAAGGATATTGCTTGGGTGTAAAATCCGAGTTAGATTCGGACTGAATGCAAGTGTGTTCCCACGTGGCTGTGTGTGCAAGGGCTGTGTGTTCTCAATCACATAATGTGGTCCATCCACCCCAGGACAACAGTAATCCTCGCACTGAGCAGAAAAATGACAGCATTACAGTCAGATACGAGGACCAGGAGGTCAGCACTTCTGATGGTGGGACATTGCTGTGCGCAATTGGCTGCCGCGTTCGCCCACAAATAGGCAGTCAATTCACTTTACGGTGTGTTCTGTGAAGCGCTTTGGGACGTCCTCCCGACGTGAAAAGCGCTATATCAAATGCAAGGATTATTATTATTATTATTATGTGGGAGGATTGCCACCGGTGTCCCTGTAAATGCAGTGATACTGTGTGCGGAATAGGGGCACATCTCCTGGTGTGTGCAGCTTCAGTGCAGTGCAAACAGACAGCTCACCAGCCTCGCAAAGATCCTTTTGCTTTTCTCCTCAGTGCAATAACCTGCGAAGATGCTCCTGTGGATGTAGATGGACGTGTTGGCAATGATCCAGCAACCGATCCACAGAAGGAAACAGGCGAACGCGGGTTTTCTGACGATCTTTAATCTGATGTGACGGACTCCGGGAGTTCTTGAGGTCGACATAGTTCAGTCGCTCCCCAGTTTCCAGCCTCTGCAACTGAACCCCGCAGCAAAATCGCATCCAACTAACTCTGCGCCCCCCCCACCCATCCCCCCACCCACCCCCACCCCGGGCAAGTGGGCGACCTCCCACACCAGGTCTGTGATGCCTCGAAATAAAGAGAAAACAAAGAAGGATTCAGATCTGCTGCAGTCCGGGGTGTAGCTCTGGGGAGTGAGGGTGCACACGATGTGCATCTGACATGTCCATCTTCCTCCCCCCCAGTGGACTGCCTGACTGCACACACACACACACACACCACACACACACCACACACCACACACACACCACACACACACACACCACACACACACACACACACGCAAAATCCTCAGAGCAAATGCGCCACAAGTCTGGATCAGAGGAATACTGGAGTCACTGCTGTACTGGAGCTCAGATTGCTTTTGCATTTAAGCCACGTACTTCCGCATTTCTCTCTCTCTCTCTCTCTCTCTTTCTCTCTCTCTTTTCTCTCTCTCTCTCTCTCTCTCCTCGCCTGCAGGAGAAGTTTGAGTGAAATTATAACTGGACTCTCACACTCTTACCTACAGATCGATCAGAATGTGGCTGTGGTGGCACAAGGGCTGGATTGAAAAGCTAGACTTAAATTTATTGCAAGCAAGAGCATTACAGCAAGAGAGAAAACAGATCCTTACCGAGTGTGGATAAATATTCAATATACCTAAAGTGTTTCCCACTAAGAAATTGAAGTTGAGCTGGACATTCACGTTGTTGTTATCGTACAGGGTAACTGACCTCTGTTATAAAGCAATGCCTCGGATCCCAAAGAAGCGCCAGATTCGCACCCATAGCCGGTCTCGAGGAATCGATGAAAAAATGGGATGTTTCATCACAGATTTGATGTGATGACTTGTTGTTTACTGTGCAAGACCCTCCTCTTCCACCGCACCTTCGGTCACCCTCTTACCCCCACCCTCCCTGCCCTCCACCCCTCCTGATCCAAACCCGCAGCTCGGATCCAAATCCTTGACTGTCCAGCACTTTGGGATGTCCTCCTGATGTGAAAGGTGCTATATAAATGTAATTTGTTGTTGTTGTTGACATTAAATCTTTGAGGAAACATCACATCTTCAGCCCATGAAGTGATGGCATGTCACAGCTCAGAACCACGCAGCCTATTAAGTCTGGTCTGTTGTATTTTTCTCCACATGAGTCAAACTAGTCCCACTGTTATGCTCACTACTGCAAATCATTTACCGGTTCTCTTTCTGTCTAGTTAAAATTATTGATGGAGTCTGTTTCCTACAACAGAGTAGTGAGCTGCTGACTTTACCATATCTGAGTGAAGGGTTATGCAACAAACCGCTCTTTGATCCAGGCTTGTTGTTTACTGTGCAAACATAACTACATATTTACAATGGCTAAAAAAAAGTCTAAAGTAGTTTTCTGATCTCTCTCCTGAGGTCAATGACTTGACTCGGGTATGTTTCCACCAGTCACAGGTGCCCCCTCGTGGCAATTGTACACTTGTGTACCTAACTAGTGCCTTGCTGCTGCCCTCATAATACATTCCAGACATTTGCACTTTAAAAGCATACGCCACTGAACAGCAATAAAAATTACTCAGTAAAATCACATGTCTGTTCGCCTACACATATACAGTCACTATATCAAATGGATGCATTATTATTGCTTTGTCCTCTCCCCCAATGTCCCCTTCCACCCCATCCAGACCATCCACTCCACCTTCTCCCTTCGGCAAGGCTCCTGCCACTTCCCCCGCCTTACACTCCTTTGCCCCCATTTCTCAGACCTCCCTCTCAATTACAATCACCCGGATAAAGTTCACCACATGCTGCCCCTCCCCACCCAGCTGCTGGTCACTCAACTCCCCTCCTCTCCCCACTGCTGGCCGACACAGTCAACCAGTCTCTCTTCTCAGGCTCTGCTCCACTCCCCCTGAAAACTGTCATCACACACCTCCTTGAAAAACCTACCCTCGATCCCTCTAATCTCTCACACTACCATCCCATTTCCAACCTACCCTTCCTCGCCAGAGTCCTGGAATACATTGTTGGAGGTTAACTGCGGTCACACCTCTCACTCTACTTCTGCCTCGAGCCCCTGCAGTCTGGTTTTCGCTTAACAAAGTCACAAACAACATCCTCTCTATCTGTGACCAGGGCTCCCTCTGCCTCCTCGTCCTCCTGGATCGCTCTGCTACATTCAACACAGTCGACCACTGCCTCTCCTCCCTCATCCACTTTAGTGGGACTTCACTCGCATGGCTCGAGTCCTACTTAACCGACTGCCTCCATTTCATTTCAGCAAATGGTTTCTTTGCCTCCTCCAGTATCAACTCCAGGTCCTCCGATGTTCTGTCAGCTTGTCTGGCAGACATCAGGGCCTGGTTGAGTGCAAACTTCCTGCAGCTGAACGTGGACAAGATGGAACGTATAATTCTTGGCTCCCGTCTTCGTCTTCACTCCTGCGGATTTAAACTCCTCAACCCCCCCTAGGCTCTCCCTCACACTCACCGAACCAGTGCGCAATCTAGGCATCCGGTTCGACCCCCAGCTGTCATTCCTCCCCCACATCTGGTCCCTGGCCAGGACAGTCTTCCTTCACCTCTGCCACATTGCCCGCCTCTGTGCGTCCCATACCCCAAATGCAGCTGAAATCCTCGTGCGTGCGCTTGTCACCTCCCACCTGGATTACACAAACGCACTCCTCGCCGGTCTCCCCAGCTCCACTATTCAAAAGGTCCAGCTCATTCAGAAATCTACAGCCCGCATACTGACCCGGACCAAACTCCATACCTACATCTCACCAGTTCTCCACTGGCTCCCCATCACCAAACAGATCGACTTCAAGATCCTGACACTCTTGTTCAAATCCATTCACTCTCTGGCACCTCATTACCTCTTCGACCTTTTCACGCCCCAATCCACTACCAGGTGCCTCCGCTCAACTGGCACCAGCCTCCTGCTTGTCCCTCGCATCCTCCGCCCCACCATCGGAGGTCACACTTTCAGCCACTACGCCCCGAAACTCTGGCACACTCTCCCACATTCCCTCCACCTTGTCCCCTCTCCTTTTTCAAGTCCTGCCTGAAAACCTTCCTCTTTGACCGTGCTTAAATGCAAGTTGTTGTTATTATTTATCTAAAGCAGGGATACCAAGGTCATTTGCAATGCCCCCATGTCACCTCAGCCAAGATCAGCTAAAGCAGGGATCAGCTAGAGTACAGAGATCAGCACATGATCCAACTTCACGTTTGTACATTTCAGTATCACTCCCGGCAAACTTTATATAGTCAATTCACTTTACAGTATATTCTGTAAGCGCTTTGAGACATCTCAAAGACATGATATGGTGCTATATCAAATACAAGAATTATTATTATCAAGGGAGCTGTTGAAATTTATTTTGAAATAGACTTTTCTTGCAGAAAGATAGATTTCAGTGCATTAGAATTCCTTAATAATTTATTGTTTATGGTATCTATTTGTAAGGAGGAGAACAGAGTCAATGGTCTGTGGTCAAGTGTATTGCTGACTATTTTGTTATTAATGTCTGCACTTCCTGTGCATTACTGAAGTGATCAGCAAGAATCAATTACATTATTATGAAATACCTTTCATGTAAAATAAATATTTCAGAGCACTTTACAGAATTAGACTAATTACATATTAAGTGAATGTTATCCAGGCAAATAGCAGCATCCAATTGGTTCAGTTTCATACCACAGTAAAATGTCAGTGACACTGAGACAATAAATTTGAATTGTTGCCATCAAATTGGATGAGGGGAGAATATAAATCAGGATAACCAAATGAAAGAACTTTTGAATGCAGTGTTTAACCTTGTATAACCTAGGGGTAGAAATCACACCTGAGCTAGCTTTATTAACGTAGCATTTCAGATCGTGCAGAATTGTGGCACTTTGTTGGAATTCAGTTTTATCTTTAAAGCTCATGTTCTATATAGTTCTTACAAACTTACAGAAAACCGGCTCAAAAATTGAAAACCTATATTTAAAAATGTCAGAAATTCTGGATGCTCTGAAATGCTACATTGATAGAGCAGATCTAAACTCAGGTGAAATTTTACCCCATTGGTACTTTATCTTTCTGAACAGCCACTGCTCCACTCGAAAGCTCCTGTCTACTGGAAAATTATCTAATTTTTTTGAAATATCTCCAAACAGTCTCTTTGTTCTCAGACCTCAAAACCGGTATTGTTCATCAACTAAATGTTTGATGCACAATACCTGATAGTGTCTATATTGCACATCTTCACTGAAACCTCATGTACTGAATTCCCTCAATGTGGGAGAATACACATTAAGAAAATCCCATCAAATGTACAGAAATGTAATGAGATACATGTCACACACACATTATTCACTGTACATTTTGGAGACAAAGTTAAGAGAGGCTTGGGGGCAATGATAGGAGATATGCTGGATGGAAAAATATAGGAAATTCAAGAATCATTGAATGATGATAGGGAACCAGAAAGCAATTGAGCATGTTACAGCAAAGAGATCCGAGTAGAGATAAGGTAGAGATCTAGCATTTCAAGATCTTTGTCAGCAAATTCCAGACTAAATGACTACAGAAACTAAAGACTTTAATTAATCCATCATAGTCAATTCATATTGGTTTGGGGCAACTCTCAGGGTTGCTATAAGACATTGCACTGCAGAGAGTGATAGGACACGAGGATACAAATTGAAATAGTGAGGTCTATTCATCAACGTGTCTCAAGCTGACCCTCTGTAAGTCAGTGTGGATGCTGCTCTTCCTCTATGTACTAGGAGCCTACTTTGCCCAAAGGCAGTTTCATAGAAGTAGAAACCAAGATTGGCATGTGAGTGGAAACGTACAACACACATGCAGCATTCCCCAGAAATCCTTTTTGTGAATATTACAATTTGGATCTCAGTATGCCTTTACTCTCTTTTACTGGAGAAAAGAAGAGGAAACTGCACTAAACTCCAGTTCTCTGAAATGAAGCCCAGAAGCACATAGAATAATAATCCTTGCATTTGACATAGCGCTTTTCACGTCTTCTAGACATCTCAA